GGCCCAGGGCAGGGGTTGGGACTGGAGGAGCTTTAAGGTCCCTTCAACCCAAACCAGTCTATGACTCTATGATTAGCTTGAACTTTGCCACTGAAGTATGAGAAACTGCCTCCCAGACTCTCTTTCTCTCCATAATTTCATTACAGCATCAGAGCAGTCCTTGCTGCAAAGCAGTAATGGACTTGGACAAAGAGTCCTTTTAAATTTGCATTCGAGGACATTGCCATTTATTCTTGGGGATAATGATGCTGCCACAGCCACCAAGGCCACGCTGGCACAGGTCAGTGAGCCCTCACCAGGTCCAGCCCACTGCATGCAGTGTCCATGGCTGCTCCCAAGCCCAGCTCACACAAGCAGCCAACACCAGCCTGACACCTCGTGACCAGGGGCTGCTAAACCAGAGCTTTAGGGGCTTTGCCTCTCTTGGGGCTAGAGAAGGGATTTGAATTGTCAGCCTGCCCTGAGCCCGGGCCTGGGAAAGTACCAGTGCTTGGGCTTTGTCTCCTTCCCGCTTCCCTTTGAATTCCACTTCGCACCTTTGTGTTCACTTTTTGTTCTCCTTTAATTTTTCTGATCTGCTGTTTCCTGCCAAGATAAAGCTGTTCCAGCAGCCTTCCCCCATGGTTTTTGGTCTCTGACCTCACTCTGTGCCAGATACCACCCTCTCCTTTGAAGCCTTTCAGCGCCTGTAGACATTACCCATCTGCCCTTCTGATGTCCCCCGAAGCTAAATCTGGCATTCCCATTGCCTCGGAATGCTTCCCAGCCCTCATGGAGTGCTTTAAGCAGCTCCTATCACTCCATGGGAGACCCGGAACTGTATCTCAGCTCACTGCAAGCCACTAACCTGGCACGCTGCTGGTACCACCTTCCTCATCCACACCCTGGGTTCCAGCAATGTCCTTCATCTCACTGCGCCCCAAAGCAGCATCACTTCTCCCCTCACTTCTCCAACCGTCAACAAGCAAGAACAACACAGAGAGGAGCCAGTGGGGCAGCAAGGGAGTGATGGAGGATGCAGGGGGAGGGATGGAGCCGGCTGGGCAGCCAGGCACAAAGCCCCAGTGTTCAGCCAGGCGGGCACAGGTATTCTGATAGGGATGGAGGTTTGCTGGGGATTAGGTTGCTCCACGCTTCCTGCACAGCTCATGCAGGAGATTTGGCCGCTTTGGTAGAACCTTAACGCTGGTTTCTGCTTAATAAATACGCTGGGAACAAGAAACACATTGAGCAGCATTCCCGAGAAGGACACGTACCTTGCTGCTGGAGGGATCGCTCCTCCTGGGCTCCAGCTGGGAGCAGACAGCCCTGCCCTGGCCTCCCAGGATCTCCATGTGAGTGCAGATGTGGGCAGCACCTTTATGGTGCTGAGCATCGCCAACACTCAGCTATCTGCAGGGCCTATGGGCAAACAGTGTTCCTTCCCCAGGCACTTCCTTCCTGAGGTTTTTCCCCACCCGTGTCATTACCCATAGCAAAAATCAAAGGCAC